GACAGAATTCAGTAAAATAAAAACCACAGACTAGCCTAGATACCTTGAAGTACCTAGGACATGAACTCTTTTTTCCATCTCTCATAGCTTCTCTAATGTTGTGTTTACACTGCAACACATAACTTCACAGAACTCTAAGACAACAATGACAAAACATTAAACCTTGCAGTCTTCTTTCCAAAGTTGACAGAAAAAAAAAGAAAAATAAAAAATAATCTCATTTGACTCCTACTCCCCACCCTGTGTGTGCAGCCTCCCAAACATAAGCTGAGTAGACAAAAGAATGCTTGCAAAACACAAGGCATAAAGGAAGTCTGAATTCTTATAAATCAAGTCCCCTCATTTGGAAGCTTCTACTAAGCCCTTTTCATTGCAACCAACAAGATAATTATCATGAGTCGAGCTATCTCCCTTCCTCCCCCTTTTTCTTCTTTCAGCACTGGCATACAAACCAAGCTATTTTAACTTCTTTCCTGTTCTCCCAGTTCTTCTGGAACATTTTATTTTCAACAGTCAACTTGTTTGGAGAAATGCCATGCTGAAGTTCAACCATTTACAATGTTAACTGTGTCACTGCCAGCTGCTGAAGATGCATCACAGCACCTTCTCCATCCCACCCTTGGATCAAAGAATTTGTTTCCCTTAAGTCTGAAATATTTTAGGACATTTAAGCAATCTAACTCTGATCTCGCCCCTTTTATTTTTTTACTTCAGAATTACCTTCTCACATCGAAGAGCAAAGTGGGCTCCGTAATGCCCAACCGTCTTTAGTTAACACTTTCAAAACTCGTCTTCAAACCCCAGGAGTTCATATTACATTTTACTGTTATCAGAAAGAGTTCCAAAGGAATCATTTCCTTTCATCTGTAGGACACTATGGATACACCCCGGTGTTTGGGGACATACTGATATTTAGACTGATGGAAACAGATCTCTCTATGGAAGCCACCAACTAGAAGTTCAGAACCGAATCCACTCCCTTCAACAATGAACGAAAATTATAGAATTCTGTCAGTGGAAGAAGACTTTGAACAGTTTATCACATGTATTCTTTCAGTCCATGAGCACCTACTGCAGCCTTCCAGATAAATATTGCTATAAGGCTTCCTACCATGGTGTGACCCAAGTATAGCACAAAGCTTAGTAAAACAAACTAAGTTAAAAAGACACAAAAACTTAGTATGTGCTCTGCAGACTTTTCCTGATCCATCAATAAAAATGGATCCTCTTACTCACAACTACTCTACCTCCCAAAATTACTCTTTGTGACATTTTAGCTCAATTAAGTGTTGTTATTCTTGGTTAGTATACAAGTAGGGGAATATTTTTCTTCCTTGAGTTTGATCAATTATAGATTTATATTAGGACAAAGCTGGTTAAGGAATATTAATTACATAGTTATTTGCCAGTGTTACAGATTACATCCTTCTTCCACAGTTTGAAAGCTACAAAGTAATGTTCTTAAACTCAATTTGATAAATGACCTGCAATAACATGCATAGATGGTGTTAGAGTAGAACAGAACGATCTTAATTCTTATTGTAAAGCTACACTTGCTTATAGAAAGTCCATATAACCATCATGGGAGTAGCTTTTTGCTCACCCTGTTTCTGAGAGTTCAGTATTTCAAGAAGTATATCTTTGGTTTTTTGGAATAACCTTCCTCAAACTGTAGCTTGACCTATAATAAGATTTTAGTTCTTCCTATTTCCTTGCTAGTGCTAAAATTAAACTGTCCATTCCTTAGGGCCCAACATAACATCTACCAGATGTCAAAGTATCTATGTGGAGCATTTTCTCCTAACACTTATCAGCCATCATCACAATCAGCTAATGGCTTCCAAATACCAGTTTTCCTTTCAGTCACAAACCAGCACTGTAACATGATTAAATCTCTTTTTAGCTTTACTGAATAATGATAAAACACACCCTTCCCCCCCCCCAAAAAAAATATTATACTTCTGCTTGTGAGTGTTCTAGTTTCCATATCAACCAACCCATTTTGTACTCACATTAGATTGTTCATAGTCTGAACTCATTTTATATATATATGTATACACACACATGAATACTTTATTTGTCCTGGATAATGAAACAGCATTTCTTCTATCAACTTGAAATATTCACTAGTGCTTCTTTTTACATTTCGTATTCTTCAACATCATAGCTCCAAATGGCAAGTACTTTTATTGGGTGTGTGATGAATTATTGTTTTAACCAAGGAACAGAGCACTGACCTCAAGAGAACAACTGTGTTACCCCTCTAAGAAAATAAGACCTGGATTACTGAAGTTACTTTACGGTTAACCACTTTTTCAATACTGATCAAGCCCATTTACTGTTATACACATTTCAGTTCCATCTTGAAAATATCTAAGGTAAGTATCTTCATTAGCAGGAACATTGTTGTGACCATAAGGCCCTGTTCACCCAAACGTGAAGAGTGTTATGTGGTATTTTACATTCATAGTGACTAATTTAGGATTTTCTACAGTAAGCTACAACATGTAAAGTCAGCCCTCCCCTCAAGGTGCCTCTTCTTAATTCGCATACCTACTGCAGAAGGATAACACTTTTCACATTCAATAGCAAAGGACTTAAGCTCAGAACAAACCATATGCCCCTTTGTTTTCTCTTATTTTAGAAACTCGCGGCTCTTTTCGCTTTGGAATGTATCTATCTAAGAATAGTTTCAAAAGTTATAGGAATGAGAGAAGGATAATATGGACCAGAACCAAATTTATGGAATTAAATGAGGACATTTTCATTTACTTCAATGGTCACTACATCAGGCTCATTATCACTGATCAGACAGCAAGGAGATTTTCCTTGTCTCTCATTCAGTTTCAATGTAACCTTAAACATATTTAAAAGTAGTGTTCCAACAAGATTCATCCCACAAAGGTACTGTTCCACAGAAAGACACAGATGTGTGCAGCATTTCAGGAACTGAGCAAGACATTACTGGCATCCAGAAATCTAGAACCACACCACTTAACATGTCATACATTGAATGTATTCTACTTTTTTTTTCCCCCCCCACACAAAAAAAGGAAGTGATCAAGAAAGCTTTTTATATCCTTCTCACAGATGGACTCCCCAAGTTCTACTCCAACAACTGCCATCTCCAAGCATTTTGTGTGTATTCTATCCTAAAACCACCATATTCCTTTCTTGAGCTCTTCCAAATATTCTGTACACCATACAAAGCAGATTACTCACACATCTCTACTTGACCCATGTTTTCAGACTGCATACTGTCGCTTCTTTAAATGCTGAAATGTTTCAGGATTCCAATTTGCCCTTTTGAAGAACTGCCTAAACTCTGTAACCCATCTGCAAAGCAAGGCTGGTGGGAAGGGAAGAGGGTGATGGAAACAGCTGTCACTCTCTTTTAAGGCTGTCCTAGACTATTGCATATAAAAAGGTGAAAATAAATAAGCTTTGAAGAAATACGCTATTGCCCATCATGGTTTTAAAGATCTCAGGTTTCCATAATGACATAAAAAATAAATCCAGAACACCAACATTGCTAGACAGTTTCAGAAATAAACATTTTTAAGACACTGAACATGTGAAAGTTGTGGGATGTTTGCAAGTCAGACAACATGAAGAAAAAGAGAAACTGTTTCTTTTCTAGTACCTTAAGAAACTTCAACTTCCAAGCCAGCCTCAGGCCACCAATAAAAAGCTTTGTGGCATGATAAACATGTAACCAAATCAGTTGACTAAAAAAAAAATTCCATTTTAATGTATCCAAAAGAAAGAATGTTGCTGTGCCTCAGAAGCGAAAATGCTCGGTAGAAGGCCACCAACCACTTCCTTAGCACCTTAATGACTGACATTGCATGGAGCTCTGCAGAAGAACCTGAGGAGCCACAAGCCATAGAGACTTACCTCCAAATATTTAAGAACAATGAGGTCTTTGGCCAACTGAATCAACATCTCAAATCCCATGAAGTTCAACCAGCAGAAAAATCTAAAAGGTTGACTTCAACATGAAAAGCAGAGCAAAGGGGAGGAAACCAAAACCCAAAACAAACAAACAGACAGACAAAAAACCTTAGGATGTGTGTCTGTGTGTGGTAAGTCACAGAGAAGAGCCATCAAAATGTTGCACACTGAAAAACTGAAGAACCCTTCAGGGGGAAAAAATAGCCTAGGATTAAGCCAGCTAGAGTCAGCAAAGCTTCAGAAAAAATGGAGAGGCATCCACTTCCCATCTCAGCTTTGTCTACTGGAAGCCTGCTCTTTCTCTCTGTCTCTCTCCTCCATTTTCTGGTGGAGCTACAGAACATGACATGGCTTACCTGACTCAGATCACAGCTCTCTGCCAAACTAGTCACTTCCTCTTAGACATGCAAGCCGCTTCATGAGACACACACACACACACACACGAAAAGCAGCAGCAGCAGCAAAGCCCCCAAACTTGAAGGTCTTCCCAAGTGGCTGACATTGAAACAAATGAAACTTTTGTTTGTCTGTTCAAAAAGAGGGAGGGATCCTATCAGAGCCCATCTCTAGGGAGCTCCAGGAGGGTCTGTCTCGCTCTGTGGAGGGTAGAAACTACACTGCTAAGAGGGAAAAGAAAGGTTACTCCAGGAGACATAAAAAGCTTGGAGACTGTGTCTGCATGGGGGGGGGGGGGAAAAGCTTTGTGTTGTGGAGTCTGGACTGGAACCAAAGCAGACAGCTTGCAAATGGAGGACAGGGAGATAAAGGAAGGGAAAGGGAGAGGAGGGAAAAGCTGCTGGGGAAGAGGGGGGGAGGCTCTTTCTTCCCTGTGTGGCTGGGAGACAGAGACACCCGGGGAACTGAGCAAGAAGTGAGGCTCTTTCCTCCTCCTTTCTCTCTCAGAGGAGAGCAGGAGCGAGTGTAATGGCTTCTCCTCTCCAGCTCACTCTGTCCTCCTCCAAGCAGCCCCCTTCAGAGCCCACCAGCCCCCCTCCCCCGGACACCCCCACATCCCAACTTCAGGAGAGGGGGGGGGAGGCAAATACCTGGGCGAGGGACCAGCGTGGCACCAGGGGAGGAGGCAGAGGAGAAGGCAGGAGAGAAAGGGAAAAGAAAGAGGTCACCCGCTCGCTTGGGTCGTGCCAGCACGTAGCTTTTCTCTCTCCTCTGTGCCTCTCTCCCGTCTCTGATCCAAGTCCACCCACCCAAGCCCCATCCAGCCCTAACACACACACGCATCCCTCCATCCCCCCCAGCCCTGCTGAGCGCTCACTTATCGCCCCATATTTCTCTCCCCCCCCTTTAATGCAACAACAACAACAAAAAATTAATTAACCGCCTTCCTCCTCCCACCAGCACCAGCACCTCCTCCTCCTCCTTCTCCTCCTCCATGCAAGAGAGACTTCTCTCGCTCGCTCGCGCTCTCCAACAAAACACCCCCCCTCGCCTGGCTTTTCCTCCTCGCCTTCCTCCCTGGGCTGAATGAATGGGCTTCAGAGGAAGAAGGGGTGGTGGAAAGAAAGAAAAGGAAGGGGGGGCAAAAAATCCCAGGCGAGCGCCAGATGAGCTCCCCAAAGCCCACCCCGGAGATGGATTTTAATGGCATGAACTTACAGTAGCGTCCCGACGCTTGCTGCTTGCTTGCTCGCTTTCTCCTCCTCCTCCTCTCGGTCTAGCTCTTCTGCTTGTGATGGTGGTGGCAGTGGTGGGGTGAGACTCATGTGCTCCTTGCTAGGTCTCAGCCATGGAGGATCGCCATCTTTCCCTGCTTTTTTTTTTCCCCCCTCTCCTTCACTGCTGCAGCTGCAAGATGACCTGAGATATCCGTCTCTCTCTCTCCCTCTATGTCTCTCTCTGAATAATGAGCAACCAGAGGAGAGAGAGAGAGAGAGAAAGAAGACAATCTCTCCTCTCCTGCCACACAAAACGCAAGAGCACCAGGGGGTGCAAGAAGCCTTTCTAACAACAACAACAACGTGGAGGGGAAGGGGAGGAAAAAGAAGAGAGAGAGAGGGAGAAAGAGAGAAGGAAAAGGCGAAGAAGAGGCAGGGGAAAGGGAGGGGAGAGGGGAAAGAAAGAGATGGAGGAGGAGGAGGAGATGCTGCTGCTGGCAGAGGTGGTGAAGATGGAGGAGATGAAGAGGAGGTTATAAAGTTAAGGCTTGGGACATGGAGTCACTCAGAGGCCAGGGAGGACGTGGAGGGGGGCGGGGGAGGAAGGAGGGCGGAGGAGAAGCCGATCTGAAGAGCTTTCTGCTCCAAACTGTTGCCTTCACACCGCCTTCTGCACAGGAGCCCTGCAAAGCCCGGGCGATGCTGAGCCAGCCCGCTCAGCCAGATCTTGCCTGCTGGGTCATAGCTTTCTACCAGCCATGGCACAGCCCGGCTCC